AATGGGGATAACGGGAGCCTGGCGTCTCTGCATCTGCGTGTGTCTGTGTGTACACCTCTTTGTGTGTGCACGTGTGCCCCACTCCCTCCCGCACTGTGAGGGTCTCGATCTGCCGCCCTCCTCCTGAAAACCGAAACGTTGTAACTCGGAACCAATTTTCTCATAAGAAACAATGCTATAAATGGGGGGCTGGTTCCTGAACCAAAGCCTGGCACCCTGTTTTCACTAAAAATCCCCCCAGAAGTTTGTACTCAATTATAGGTAAGTAATATAGCTACATTAACGTATTTATATTGTAAATAGCAATCATATTGATTTGGAAGGACTTCTCTGAGGTGACTTTGGACTTTTTGAAGGGTTCTTGGCTGGAGTCTTCTCGGGAGTCGTGGCTGCAGGTTTTTCTGGAGTCTCGTCTGCTTTCTTAAAGAAAGTGTCCAAGGAAGCGTGGACAGATGTTCTCCAGGGAGATGAGCAACGCAGCAAACTTGCTCGCTGGCGTGGCATCGCAGCAGATCAAGCGTCGTAAGTCAAAACTGGCATTGTGAAGTTGAAACGGTGTCAATTTATAAACCTTGTAAGTGCGAAAGGTAACTCAAACGTCGTAAGTCGAGGACTGCCTGTACTTTGTGTATATGTGCATATGCATGTCTGTGTCTGCATATGCACATGAATCTGCATCCGTGTGTGTCTGCCCCTCACTCCCCAGCCACGGCCCCCCCCAGCCCTGCTGCTGCCGCTCAGTCCTGACCCCCCATCCTCCCCAGGCTCCAAACCACATGCATACACACCCACAGCCCTCTCCCCCCTTCACAAATCCCCACCACACACACACCCCACTCCCACCCTCCAACCATTCAAAGTACCTGCATGATTTTTCATAACTTTTTCTTCTGCATGTAATTTTGAGTTTTTAGCTCTGTGATTAAAATCACGATTAATTACAACTAATTTGTTTTAATCATGCAACTAATCAAATTCTTTAATTGTTTGGCAGCCCTACTAACTTACAAACTTTTAAAGTCTTGGTACAAATGATTATTAATGGCCCATGATAAGCTCCCACTCAAAATCACTAACTATGCAGTGTGCAGCAGACTCTGTTACTATGTCTCAGGTTTTGATGTAATGATGCATGTTTTGGTTTGTTTATTTTATAAACTCTGTACAGTGGCATGGTGTGCATTGGTGACATGTAGGGGGTGCACGTGCATCCCCTGAGCGTGGCGGTGCACCCCCTGCGGGCAGTCACCATTTGCCACACCCCTCCTCCCACCACCGACACCGTTGGCGGCATCTACAGGCAGTCAGCAATCGCCACTGGCGGCTGCTGATGCTGCCAGCGATGTCTGCAGGTGGTTGTTCACCTCTGGTTGCTCACCACCACCATGAATGACACATGCCCCACAGAACGGGGCATACGCCGTTCATAGTGGTGTGTGTTCTGCACATGAGCTGGTACAATGGTGGTAATTTTTTAAACCCAGACAGTCAATTTGTGCAAACGCAAACACAGATGAAGAGGAAATTCAGCCGACATTGATTTTACAGCATTGTTTGGAAAATAAGAAAGCGGTCCATGTGGAAATCACTCATCAACATGAAGCAGAAAAAAACGCAGACAAAATGAATGTTGCTGATAAGAATGTAAGTGCCTCTGCTGCTGCTAGTGTTTCGATTAATCTGAAATCAGGGGACTGATCAAGTGGGCCTGCACAGATGAAGTTGAGTAATTATCCCAGAAGTTCATTTGGCAAACAAAATGGATCATTCTCGTCATCCTTGTTCAATAAGTATCCCTTTATTGAATACAGTGTGAGGCTGATGCTGTATTTTGCTATGCCTGCAGAATTTTTGACAGTTCTTCTGAATACAAAGATAACAGTTTTACAGAAAAGGGGTTGTGAGATTGGAAAAAGTTAAATGAAAAGCTGAACAGTCATTCTAACTGTACGGTTCACTTGGAATGCATGAATAAATGGAAGAATTACCAGGCAGCAAGTAAATCAGGCTCAGTTGTATGTCACCTGTCAAACTCCCATAAGATGACTGTTCAGGAAAACAGAATATGCTCGAAAAATTACTGACTTGCTGCTCTATCTTTCACACCAGGGGTTGGCCCTTAAGGGTCATGATGAAAAGGAAAAGTCAGAAAACAGAGGGAATTTTCTTGAGTTATGCTCCCTTTTTGCAAAATAAGATGAGCAAAGTTTTTTTTTCCATGCCTGGAAACCATGAACTTTTTTGTGATGTGCAACATATCCCAGGCATAAAATCTATGGAGTTGACAAGTCTAGTGATACACATTGGACGTGCAGGTGGAGAAATGTCAAAGCATGCAAGTCTAATTTAAAGGTTATTATCCAATGCCTAACTGAGCTCTCTCAGCATGGAAGTAACTGAAATTTTGTTCAGCAAATGGATTGCTGTACCAAGTACAAAAAACAGATTTTGTCATCTGTCTCGTTTTGGAGAACCTACTGTCATTAGTGCATGTCACTCACAAGGCATTGCAGTCTGAAAAGGCCTCGCTCTCTACAGTGGCAAGAGTAGTTACTAGCACTGCCACGACTTTGGAAAACATGAAAAACAAACAAGCCTAGAACAGCGTCTGGGGAGAAGTCCTGCGATATGTCCTAGGGAGATGTCTGAGGTCGGATCCAAAGAGCGGAAGTTGACGGAAGTCAATCATTGTGGTGCACCGTGACCAGTGGAGTCCCCCAAAGCTCTGTCCTTGGGCCTATTCTTTTCAACATCTGCATTAATGATGTGGATGTTGGTGTCAGAAGCGGACTGGCCAAGTTCGCTGATGACACCAAACTTTGGGGTAAAGTGTGCACACCCGAGGACAGGATGGTGATCCAGGGTGACCTTGACAGGCTTGGAAAATGGGTGGACAAAAACCTAATGGCTTTCAACACTGAAAAATGCAAAGTACTCCACCTTGGGAAGAAAAACCCACAGCATGCTTATAGGCTTGGCAGTGCTACGCTTGGTAGCACCACGGCCCAAAGGGACATGGGGGTCATGATTTACCACAAGATGAATATGAACCAGCAATGTGACGATGCAGCTAGCAAAGCGAGCAAAACTCTGGCTTGCGTCCATAGATGCTTCTCTAGCAAATCCCAGGATGTCATTCTCCCACTGTACTCAGCCTTGGTGAGGCCGCAGCTGGAGTACTGCATCCAGTTTTGGGCTTCACAATTTAAAAGGGATGTGGAGAAGCTTGAGAGAGCCCAGAGGAGAGCCACGTGCATGATCAGAGGTCAGGAAAACAGACCTTATGATGAGAGGCTGAGAGCCGTGGGACTGTTCAGCCTGGAAAATCGCAGGCTCAGGGGGGACCTGGTGGCTGCCTATAGGTATATAAGGGGTGTGCATCAGGATCTGGGGGAATACCCGTTCACCAGAGCGCCCCATGGGATGACAAGATCAAATGGCCATAAACTTCTCCAAGACCGTTTCAGACTGGACATAAGGAAGAACTTTTTTTTACAGTCGGAGCCCCCAAGGCCTGGAACAGACTGCCGCTGGAGGTGGTGCAAGCACCTACTCTGGACTCCTTTAAGAGCCAATTGAACATTTATCTTGCTGGGATCCTGTGACCCCAACTGACTTCCTGCCCCTGGGGTGGGAGGCTGGACTCAATGGTCTTCTGAGGTCCCTTCTAGCCCTAATGTCTATGAAATCTATCATATGGGGAAACTGTAGGAATAACGATTGAGAGGGACAGAGACAAACCTGTTTGGCTTCCTAGGAAGACTTTAAAACCGAGTGACTTTGTTGTGGACTCAGATTGCAGTGAGAGAAAGCACCTTCCTTTGGAACCACAAAATAATAAGCAGAAGTGGTATGTGCTTATTATTTTTCCAGTTGTCAGTGCTCTAACGGGAAATTAGGTTTTCTGAGGAATCTTTAACGCTTGCCAGAAGTGTAGATGGCATTCTAGCCTGTGAACCTCAAGCAGTTGATAAGATGCTGGAAAGATACAGGAAAATTGCAAGAGTTGATTTAATTTAGCTAAATTGGAAATGCAGATTGCACGCACTGACACTGAATCCCATGGACTGCTTGTGGGGCTGGAAAATTTAAGATCTATGGTGACAGCTCTAGATTAGCCCAATTTTTTCAAGCTTCTTCAGTTAGTTCTTACTCTACCTGTTGGGTTTGTGAAATCTGAAGCATCTTTCTCTGCAATGTATTGGATTAAAACCTACTTAAGAACAACAATGAGCCAGGAACATTTTTCTGCACTATCCATTCTGAACATTGAGTCAGATATTACAAGAAACCTCAACCCTGCAGAGATTGTGAGACTGTACTCGGTCAAGGCAAACAGAAAACTTATGATGGAATAGCAATAGTCTGAGCTGGGTTGAGCTTGCCTGATGGATTTGGTGCTTAATTGGTG